GCCCCATCTAGATTTTCAAAACAATCATAGCAGGTCACTGCTGGGAGCAGTTTCGGGGAGCAATGAGATGAGTTTGTAGATAATAATCAGACTGCTAAGGAGTAAGACTACCAGGAAGCTTTCCAGTGGTTCTCAACCTTCTGGCCCTTTAAATACAGTTCCTCATGTTGTGACCCCCAACCATAAAATTATTTTCATTGCTGCTTCATAACTGTAATTTTGCTACTGTTACGAATCGTAATGTAAATATCTGATATGCAGGATGGTCTTAGGCGACCCCTGTGAAAGGGTCATTTGACCCCCAAAGGGCCACAGGTTGAGAACCGCTGCTTTAGGCTTTGGAAAACAGCTGCTCAAAAACATGAATTTGCTCAATAAACATTTCATAGATTTCTACCCTGTGCTCAGGGTAATACAAAATATTTTAAAACCCAGTACCTGATCTTTGTTGTTGTTTTTTCAAATATATTTTATTGATTTTTTACAGAGAGGAATAGAGAAGGATAGAGAGTTAGAAACATCAATGAGAGAGAAACATCGATCAGCTGCCTCCTGCACACCCCCTACTGGGGATGTGCCCACAACCAAGGTACATGCCCTTGACCGGAATCGAACCTGGCACCCTTCAGTCCGCAGGCCGACGCTCTATCCACTGAGCCAAACCAGTTAGGGCCCCAGTACCTGATCTTATAAGAAGAGGGTGGGGACCAAGGAAGTCACAGACAACTGGCCTAGAGAACAGTCATATCCAAGGCTTGGGGACACTAGTCAATCTTTAAAAGCATCTGCTGCCCGGCCAGGTGGCTCAGCTGATGTTGTCCCATGCACCAAAAAAATTGCAGGTTCAATCCCTGGTCAGGATGCATGCAAGAGGCAACCCATCCACCTAACTGGTTTGGCTCAGTGGATAGAGCATCAGCCTGCGGACTCAAGGGTCCCAGGTTCGATTCCGGTCAAGGGCATGTACCTTGGTTGCGGGCACATCCCCAGTAGGGGGTGTGCAGGAGGCAGCTGATTGATGTTTCTCTCTCATCGATGTTTCTAACTCTCTATCTCTCTCCTTCCTCTCTGTAAAAAATCAATAAAATATATTTTTTTAAAAAGAGGCAACCCATCAATGTTTCTCTCTCACATCCATGTTTCTCACTCTCTCTCCCCTTTCCCCTTCCTCTCTCTCTAAGATCAATAAATATATCCTTGGGTGACACTAAAAAAAAAAAAAAAAAAGCATCTTCTATAATTATAAGATCAGTCTTAAAAGTTGAGATAAATGGAAATTCTCCAACACATTTGCTACATTTAAGAAAATGGATTTCTGTACTTAGAAAACTGCTAGGTTAATAAGAAAAATTATATTAATTTTAATTTCCCTATAAGCCCCAAACTAAAAGAAAAACACACCATAAGAGTTCTTATGTAGCTAGAGAGTCACATTATGAGAAGGCATGTAACCTGAGAAAATGTTCCTGCCAAAATTAGTTTCAATATTTCTCTATCATTTCCTCTCATGAAGAACAGAGGTCACTATTTATTAGGAAAATAAATATATCCAAAAAAAATTCTGGATTCTAACTGCATCCAGAATCATATAATAAACAATTTATCAATATCCAATATATTCCATATAATTCTGTTTTTATTCTAGATTTTTAAGGATTAGCACAAGAATTTTTCTGCCACAATAACCACATGACCTATTAGGAGAGACCCTGGCAGGTGCAGGCACTCTCGCAGATGCTACAGACACATCTCATTTACTCCACGAAGGACCACTATGTCCGATGACTGTACCATGTGTGCAATTCTCTTCCTTATAAGAATGCTGTTTTGCTCAGTTATCCAGCACTTTAAGAATGGTGATTGAGAAAAAAAGTGTATATGTTTCCAAAAGCACTTTACAGACTTTAAAGCAAGTTTCAACTGTTAAAAAAGAATACAGGGGAGGAGGGAAGGGAGTATTATACAATCAGTATTATGAGGTTGAGCTTCTACTACTTGAAGAAGGGATTCCTGATTTCTCAAAAGAAAAGAAAGAAGAAAAAAGAAAAAAGAAAAATCCAACAGTGTGACAGAGTTGGTACAATAAAATAAGTTAGAAAAAAATGAACTCTCAGTTAATTCCTATTAGTACAAGCAGTGTAACTCTAGGTAGTGTGATGGAATTGAGTCAGGTAGTTTTAGTGGTTAGAGGAAAGTGTGGGAGTAATGGGGTCCTCTGGGTACATGCTGGGTCTTAAGCCTGCCTTCTCCAAATATACAAGGATATCTTTCATTACACTCACATTATTCTTTTATTCTTTTAAATTCCTTTTAAAAAATTACTTTAGGGGAAATTGCTTGCCATGGCTTACATGAGGAAAGGTATGCTTACCTAGAAATTGCCCAGTGAGCTTTACTACTTTCGCAATACTAGGAACCACTTAGATAAATTCAAAACTGAATTTAGCAGTAATCATTTGAAAGTGTGTTATTAATAAGGCAAATTATAACTTGTGACAAAAAGGTAGACATGAAAAACTAAATAAACTTATTGGAAGGCAAATTTTACTTAGGCTTACATTACTTTAAAAGGGAGCTAAATTCATCTTAGTGGGCTGGTTACTCACTTACAGTAAAATTTTAATTTATCTTGGTAAGAAATGAAACAATCATCTCCAACTGCCGGAAGCCGGTCCATCCTTGCTGCTTGACACAGTCGCTGCAGGAAAGAAACATCTGCACAGCATATGTTTCAAGGGACCTGGCATATATAGCATATTGTTCTTAAAATGTTTGCTCTCCTTAGTGCCATGTGTTTTAACCAAGGTCACCTCTCTGAGAAAGGTTGTTTCCCCAGGTGGGGATTTTTCCCTGAGGTTAGGGAGGGGATACAACCCCTTAATTAAGTGCCAGGCGGGTAGTTAAGCTACATAATCTTTACTCCCTGGAATGGAGATAAGAAACGCCCTAACCTTTGTAATAGAAATTGACAGGATTAAAATCGGCTGGTATAAATATGGATGTAACAAGACAATAAACATCAGATCCTCATCAGATCCACACCAGAACCTAGCAAGAGAACCTGTACACAGAACTTGGCTGGGGATCCTGGAGGGAGAACCTCGCTATGCTGATGAACTGAACCCTGTCTCCGTGTCATTCCTTCTTCACCGACTCCGTCCACACCTTTGGGGACCCTTGGACCCGCTGGGGATGGACCCCAGCATCCAACAAAGCTAATATACCACTGAGATTTTTAATGGTTCCAAACATGTTGCTTATTTAAGCAAAATCAAAGCTTTTTAATATTTTAATCAAATCTTCATAATATCTGTGTATGAAGCAGCTTAAGCCCATCTTGCCTGACACCCAGGGAATTTAAATCACTAGAGGTCGGGTACAGACAAGCCTGTAGTGACTGTTGTTTGCATTCTCACGCAGTTCAACTAGTTTCCTCTTTCCTGTCTTTATAATACAGGTAAGAAAAGAAAGCTTTTTTAAGAATGCATAACCCTCCCAACCCCAATACCCCATGCAGAAGTGGGTGGAATGCAGTATGGAGATATGTGTAGAAAGTTATGAAAATACAAAAATATTTTTTAAAACATTAGAATTTCTTGCTTTGAAAGTTTTGTGATTTTTCTTAGAGCAGGATACATCTGACGATTGGCTACATCCTTTGAGGATCACAACAATGCCCAACTCATAGGACTGCCATGAGATCTAAGATAACTAATACATTTTTAAGTGCTTGGAAGTGTATTGCCAGATAATAAGTGCTCCATCAGTGTTAGCTGCTTCTAACTAGTATTATTACTATCATCACCATCATCAAAATAATACAATTTCAAGAAAAATTGAACACAAAAAGTATATAGAAACTAGAAAAAGAAGTCACAATCTCCCTTCCCTCTTTTTATTTTATGTATTTGTATAGATTCGTGGTTTTATGAGTCTATACTAAATTCTGTGTTACTTCCGCATTCTAATAATCATGGTCATCTAAAAAGTTAAAGATAATGGGTTATAGGGCATAAAAATAGAAATAATATAAATCAAGAATTACTTTAAAGATAAGCATATACTGACAGTTATTTGCAATGCATTCTTTCTCTGCTATACTCCTCATTAAGTATGCAATAAAAACAGAATCTGGCCCGGCCGGTGTGGCTCAGTGTTTGAATGTCAACCTATGAACCAGAAGGTCATGGTTCGATTTCCGGTCAGGGCACATGCCTGGGTTTTGGGCTCCATCCCCAGTAGGGGGCTCCAGGAGGCAGCCAATCAACAATTCTCATTCCTTATTGATGTTTCTATCTCTCTCTCTCCTTTCCTCTCTGAAATTAATAAAAATATATATTTTTTAAAAAACACAGGATTTGCTCAGGGCATTGTAGGAGAAAACCTAAGAAACATAGGCTTCAGAGACTCAACCTCAAGTAGTAAATGGAATAATAATACATGAAAGTAAAGCTAAATACCTGAAAGTACAGAATGTGGTGATAATTAAATACTGAATGAGAGCTCAGAGAAGGTCACTTCCAGGATGACAGTCCTGCTGCATCTAAGGGACTAGAAAGTCATCAGTTCTTCTTTGTGTTTTAAGGCATCCTTTAAGTCTGGGGTGGAGAACCTTTTTTTTGCCAAGGGCAATTTGGATATTTATGACATCACTCGGGGGCCATACAAGAGTATCAACTTAAAAATTAGTCTGTTATATTTGGGCAAACATTTAATTAACTCCCCCCTAATGCCTTTGCAGGGCCAGACCAAATGATTTTGCTGGCCTTATACAGCCCATAGGCCGGACATTCCCCACCCCTGCTTTAAATGAACCTAAGACATTTCGAGTTCTTATCTGATCAAAGAGAACAGTATTTCTAAGCCTGTGTAAGAAAGAGATACCTGCATTCACCAAGCACACGGGGTGTGCACGCAGGAAGCACATGTCACACAGGCCTTGCTCACCCTAGCTAGAGAAAACCACGAGGCGCAGAGGATCTCTGCTGGCCTGGACACACCTGCTGGCACGGCCGTGCCTGGGCTTGCCGGAGGAGCCGCTGCTGCTGCTGCAGGAGCTTCATCTGGACCAGCTGCTGCTGCTGTGACGTGATGGCGTGCAACGAGGGCGGCTGCATGAGGGCGCCCGACCGCCGCTGCAGCATGTTCGACAGGGCTTGCTTGGTGTTGGTAGGGACAAAGGAGCCTGTGGGGTCCAGTCTAGAGCCACCTACAAAGCAACCAGAAGGAAGGGCTTTCTATACATTGATGCAGCAGTTCCTACTGATTTGATTAAAATGTAGACACCTCACCTTCTGAGCCTCACTTTATGAAGCAAAATGGAACATAAGGTGCCATCCCACCCTATACAAGAACTGCAGAATTTTCACAGGATAGGGAGGGTGGTGCAGGAGCAATTATAACATTTGAACGGCCTCACGAAGGCCCACCTGAACTGCTAAAGTGACATGCCTGAAACAGTGGTCGGCGTACTTTGGGAATCACATGGGTTTTAAATTATGGAAGGCTCCCAGGAACATATTTCTTGCATAAAATGTATTACGTTTGCCAAGTGTCCTAAGCCAGGCCTAGAAACCCTTTTGTAATTTAGACAATTGGAAGCTATCTTACAGTAGAGATGCTTAAAAATACTTAAAAAACTGGAAATGCTTGGAAACTTCAAATACCTTGATTCTAAAGATAGAACACATCTTTTTGAAGGCTAGAAATAAAATAAACAGGAAATATTGATTATAGTGATGCTGAAGAAACCAAAGAAAATTCTTAACATTTTGCATATGTAATTTGCCAAATGTCTTTAAGAGTTCAAGGGGAAAAAAATTCAACATTGGCTGACTTCAAAGTAGGTGCTAACCCTTCATTCGCCACACGGTCTACATACATTCTTTAATGTACATGAATAAGAAAATGTCTATATAAAGACCTCACAAAGAGCAAGTAATATGATAGAGGCAAAAATTTGAAAGCTGTTCTCTCGAAAAACCACATTCTTTTATACACTCAGTATCACAATCAGAGATATGATTTAATAAGTAATTCAGCAGCATTTGAAGATCATTTGGGGGAAAAATGGATAGTTGATTTGAGTAACATATGGCAAGGTAACTTTGTGAAGCAAGAATGTGAACTAATATATAAAATGTAATTGACTCATTTTATGGATAAGAGACATACTTTTTAAAGATTAGACTACGGTCTACTTCCTTTTATTTTTCCTAACTTTTCTATGTTATACCTCTGAATCAACTAAAAAAATAAATATAATAAATATGTTTGAAGCCTTGTTACTTTCCTCCCCTTCTCCTATTGAATGTTATTCTAAATTTGATGTTTATTATTCATACACATTTCCTTATAAATTTACTATACTGGCGTGTATACAGGGGAAAAAGAGAGAGATTGGTAGAGGTGTGTGTGTGTGGGTGGACACTGTTTTGCGTTTTAACTATACAGTATATAAATGGAAACATGTTGTACATATTCTTCCTCAATTTCATAGGATTCACATTTTTATGAAATTCTATTATTTCACAGATATAAAACGCTCATAAGTAGTTGTTTACTTCACATATTTTTCTTACATGTCATCATATCATCATGCCTAAGACTTACCTAATACCCAAATTCCCCAACTTGCAAATACCTTCTATAACACTCTAGGGCAGCCGTGGGCAAACTACGGCCTGTGGGCCGGATCCGGCCCCTTTGAAATGAATAAAACTGAAAAAAAAAAAGACCGTACCCTTTTATGTAATGATGTTTACTTTGAATTTATATTAGTTCACACAAACACTCCATCCATGCTTTTGTTCCGGCCCTCCGGTCCAGTTTAAGAACCCATTGTGGCCCTTGAGTCAAAAAGTTTGCCCACCCCTGCTCTAGGGTGAAAGGGTGTGCGGCTTTACAATATACCGAGCCTTCTATTCATACAGTCCTTGTGCTGGACTCTGTTGTTGACAAAGTTGAAAATGCTACAAAGTTCACAAGGACCTTGGAATTAAAGAGAAAATCAGAGGAGATGGCAATTGTGTATTATTTTCCACATTTACCACGAAGTCTAGCTTGTTCTTTGTAGTCTGCATTTACTCACTCAACAACCTCTTTTGAGAGCCTGCTTACATGCTGCTGTAAGTTCTGGGGACACTATAGTAAGCATAACAGAAAAACCCCTGCCCTCACAGAGCTGACCTTCTGGGGCAGGCAGGTAAGTGAACATGTAGCACTTAAGCAAGCGCTGTTGCCATGGAGAAACAGAAAGAGGGGGAGGGGGACAGAGTGTAGGGTGGTCAGTGCAAGCTCACTGAGAAAGTGGGGTCTGACCAAACCCAAAGGAGGCATTGAGCCATGCAGATGTCTGAGGGAGAGCATCCCCAGCACGGGGCCCAGCAGGTGCAACAGCCCTGCCGTGAGAATGTATTCAGGTCATTTACTTAACATGTCTGCTGTGTCAGGTTACCTTCTGAGTGCTACCTTTAAACATTTACTTTCAATCACCCATCCTATGAAGGTATATATCAGCATATCCATTTTACAAATGATCAAGCTGCAAAATGATCAGGCACAAAGTAATTAGGACTTGGCCAAGATTATACAGCAGAAAGTGATAGAGCGAGACTGTAACTTAGAACTCTAACACCCAGAACAGCTCTCTATGCCACTAATTTATGGGACAAACTGTGGATTCTCCACTGCTCTAAGCCAAGAATCAGATATCTTCTTCTTCCCTAAATCTCAAAAATGTTATACTCAACTTGCAATAAAAAAATTCACTATCCTGTGGAGCACAATAAGTAAAATATGATATATAGAAAGACACATCCTAACAAAATGCAGACTGAGATCTCAAAAATAATCTATTTTGCTAGAATAGGCAAACTTTCCTTTAGAAAGAAAATTAAATCCTTTCCTAATTAAGATATTTTGTATTTGGAAAATCTTCACTCCATATATAAAATCTACCTGAGCTTGAATCAGAGCAATACCCAAATCAGCAACATCCACTCTGGATATGGCAGTTTTCCTTGTTGATCGTATCTAAATCTACTTGCTGAACCAGGTTTCTGAAATCCATGGTATACACAATTTAAAGTTCAAAACATAAGAAAATAATAAAAGACACTGTGCAATACTGTCTAGTCTTTTTAAATGCTGGTAACTATATCTGATAAAAATGTACACAAATTTCATAATATAAAACTTTGATCAACTTTATATCTTACTAGAGGCCCAATGCACAAAATTCGTGCCAGAGTAGACCTTCCTTCCCCCAGCTGCCGGCACCAGCTTCCCTATGGCACCCGGGACCTGGGCTTCATCCAGAAGGTCATCCGAAGGACATTCGGTCTAATTAGCATAGTACGCTTTTATTATTATAGATAGCTTAAGATTTTCATCAGTGGCTAATTTCCTCCCAGCACTGGATGAAAACTCCAAAATCAGCCCACAAACTCATAACTGAAACCTTATTTTAGAAGAAGAAGTAACACGTTGAATGGAGAGAATTCTATAAATGTCAGCTGAGCACTCGGCTCTTGAAACTTCCAAGTTTTAAGGAGATTTCAGGTTAAAAGCAAGGAAAACCCCAAGTGAGAACTCCAAGCCACTTGTCATCTCGAGGATCCGACTCTGCTCTCTTCACGTACCTGGAGTCAGAGATGGGCTCTGCAGGAAAAAGCCAGGCTGCTGGGGCTGCCCCATGAGGTTGTAGCCCCACAAGGCAGACTGTGGGTGGTGCATCATCTGGGAGGAGATGGGTGAGTAATTAGGAGGCACTCGGTATATGTTGCTCTGTGAATACTCCTTCAACATAAAGTTAAAACAAAAAGTTACTTAACTCCACACACCACATAGGAAATGAATGCAAATTCTTCCTATCACATTACTTGAGATAACTCCTCTCCCAGTAGATAAGGCTATTCTATAATGGGAGAGATGGAAGGCAGAATCTCAATATATTCTCTGCAAAACACTCACTTAGTGAATACTTTTCGTTAATTTAAAAAGAACCTGGCTACAGTGGAGGGAGATGGAAAAAAATATCTTTTCTAAACTTCATTTTAAAATACTAAAAACACATTTAAAATATTGATATTGACTGCCAACCACAGCTGAAAGGGCGTCTTTGTAATTGCAAAGTCTCCCAAAGGCCTTGCTGAGGCCTGGGGTGAAGCTCAGATTCCTGCCACAGGCCCACAATACTTCAGAGCCAGGCCCGGCTCGGACAGGATCTTATTCCCAGTTTTCAGGCCAGTATTCTGCAAGAGCAGACTCCACCGCCATCCTGCAAACACAACCACTTCCACTCCCGCCTCCCACCCCCAATCTCCCAACAGGGCTTCCTCTTCCTCACAGCAGCCAAAAGGCTCTAAGGGTCACAGGTCTAGGCTAGCTCTAAAGGACAAAGGGAAAATAAAATTTCAGAAAAGTACAGCCTGCACTTCATCCCATCGGGAAGAGGCAGTCTCAGGAGTAGTGTGGGAGGCGAAGAAATGACCAAGACTCACTTGGGGAATGAGATAAATTTTAGGTCTTTTGCAGCTAAAAAGAACAGAAATCCATCCCCGTGGCTGGACAGGCTGGGAAACCCAGATTTCAGGGGATGGCAGTCTGGACCTTATTAAGTACCCCTTTCAAGACAAAGGAATACTGGCAGGAAGACTGTATGAAAGATGACACTGACACTCAAGTGACATCCAAAAGTGATAGTGATCATTTCTAGAATAATAATCACCAAACTATCCAATTGACAAAGACATGTTTTGGCTTTGACATAGGTAAACAATAACATCAAATAATCATGGTGTCTAAACACTACATTGTGAATATTTTTTCCACTGCACAGTAAGAACACCTTTGAATTTCATAGGAAAATAATCTCAAATTGTCTCTCAAGTATTTTTCAGTTAAATGGAAAGATATTTTATATATTAATTCTGTAAGTTCTATAAAATTATTTTAAATTACCATCTCATAGATTTCTGTTGTTTTTAAGAAAATGTTGCTACAGATAGGGAAGTCTAGTAGGCAAACAAGAAGTGAAACTACATCATGTTTATGTTATCTTTTATAAAGTCTGGAAATATGATAGAGAAGTAGAATACACAGGTGAGGAAGGTGAAGTGGTGAATATGAAATCTCACGAACATCCTATTCAATATATTAGATGGAGATTTATCTAGGGAAGACCAAATAGAGTGTTTTTATTTTATTTTAATATACTATGGCTATCAATTGCCGAAAATACAATAACTATGTTAAACACAGCTTATAATAAAAATACGTGAGAGGATGAGATTTTATAGGTCTGAAAAATTCAAGTTTCAAATCTGAGAAATCATGAGGCACTGAAATATTAAATACTATAGCCCCGGTGCACGAAATTAGTGCACAGGTAGGGTCCCCAGGCCTGGCTGGCAATCAGGGCCGATCGGGGTCTTCCGGCTGCCGGCCAGGGCCTTCCTTCGTTCCACGTCGCCCCCTAGTGGTCAGCACACGTCATAGCGAGCGGTCGAACTCCCAGTAGGTCAAACTCCCGAGGGGACAATTTGCATATTAGTGTTTTATTATATAGGATGATTCACAATGGAAGCTTAAAATTAAACAGTTATAAAAAGTAGAGGAAGAAAAATCAAAAGCTATGATCCTAATTCTATTCATTATGTGCCTCGTTAGGATAATTCTTACCAAAAAAAAAGGTTTTTACTGCTTTTAGCAGTGCTTCTAGGGCTATAAGTTGGACACTAAATCTACTGGATGCTCTTGCGTATAAGTTCCCTCTACTTCCTGCACTTACATCAACTCTGGAGCTTGATTTTGTCTTGCGCTTCCTTCCCTTTGTTTTCTTCTCTTCATCAGTTGTGGTTTTTCCCTGATCTGACAGCTCAGCTGATTTCCTCTCTGGTTCCTGAGAAATGGGAGACGTGGGCTCTTCCTCTTCCTCCTCGGGAGGCAGGGGCAGCGGCTCGAGGTAGTAACTTCGGGGCTTGGGCATAGGGTGTGTGTGGTACAAAAGGAGGTGGTGCTGCTCCTCATACTTGATCACCTTCCGGTCTATTCGGACTGTCCCGAACCAGGCCCAGGACAGAGGAGCTGGGTTCTTCTGACCCTCAAACAAATCCCAGGGGGACACCTTCTGCTTCGTAGAGACCTGGAGACCCTGTGGCAAAATAACACTCTATGACCACACCCTCAGACCTTTTTCTGATTAGGGTCAGGCTTGCTTAGGACATGGATTCAGAGAACATTTTGGCTGGTGTGGGCCTTCGCAAGAACTTAGCATAGAGCAGACAGGCTAACTAATCAGTCCAGGGTCACGCAGATCACCGGTGGGGCTGGCTAGAATCCACAGTTCTATGGTTCTCTCTACCACTGAGCTCCATAGATACAGTTTATTGTACAATGGCATTTTTTTCATGTAGTTTTCTTTTGTTAGCAAAAAAATAATTTCTAAGAAATGCTATAAAGTTGATCTTACTATACTAAATTATAATCAGTTATAAATCTTTGGAATCCATTTATTGTTTTTAGGATAAGAAACATTCAACCTCTAATTGGGCTCAAATGAACTTTAATCCAAACATGAGTGGACTTAATATGGGCACCTTTCATGTACTTAATAAGCCATAGTTAAGTCATTTTATTACAGAATTAACTTTACCAACATGTAGAAATAAACTCCTTCAATTCAAGCTCATCTCTACGGAGTTCAGAGGAGAAAATATTATTTTGTTTCTGAAAATAAGAAGTTTATTTTTAACATTAATTGGTAATGTCCCTTGGTACTTTCCCTGGCATAGCAATTTGAAAATACTTTTCTTCAGTATGAACCCCAAAATAATTACTCGGGCATTCCATAACTATGCCCTCTTACTTACACACTCTTCCATGAACAGCTTTATCCGGAACCAAGGCTCAGTACCATCTGCATACTGACTGCTTCCTAATATGTCTTGAGATTAGACTTCTCTCCTGGGTGCCAAGACCACATCTCCAAATGGCTTATACATGTCTCACCATTAGAGAGCCCACCAGCACTACAAACTCAACTTGCCCATGATTCTAGCTCTTTCTCTCCACAATGCACCAATGTGGTAAGCACCTAAAGTACTCCGAGTTACTGCTGCATTGCCGTTCAATGAGCCACCTTTTTTGTGTCTTTGCATAAATTCTCCCCTTTGCCTGTACTACATTTTCCCCTACCTCCCAGCTAACTCTTAATCCTTCAAAATGATTCATGTCGATTTTCCTGGGGATGCTGCTCCAACTATTTACTTGCCATCTGAGTGTGATGGCTCCTTCTCAGGGTCCCTAACTCTGTGCAGCATGACACACAAACCTCACCATGCTCTGTCTATCTACTACTAAGAGGGCAGGCGCTCTGTCTTCCATCTCTGTGATTTTGGAAATCTGTGGTTGTTCACGTTCACTGAAAGAATCACGGACCACTCTTCTTGTATTATAAGAACACCCTGCTTAATATCTTATATGAAATCAAGTGTTCATTAAATATTGTTTAATTGATATGAAAATAAAGTACCATCACTTTAAACATTTTTACTCAAAATAGTTTTACTACATAAAGACTTTTAGCAACAAAAATTCTTATCTAAACGTATTGTTTCCAATTCTGAAGTAAAATTACAGCTGATCTTTTGTTTTTGTTTTTTACACTAATCTTTTTAGTTTTCTATTGTTGAATTTAAGAAATTCACTTAAATTCAAGTACAATTTTAAGTAAAGATCTTGAAAGATTTAACTTTTATTATAATGCCAATAACCATTAAATGATAAAAATATGCATTTAAAAAACAGGAAACTGTAAAATTAAAATGCTTTATATGCTTTACAGGAAGACAAAAAGTTGTATTTTGTTTTTGTAAGATTAACACATAGTTATATACATGAGAAACAAACACTTTACTCTTGCCTGTTTTTTATCTATAGAGTCGAACCCAGCAATTTTGTTTCCCTTTGTGTCGATCAAGGAACCCATAGGCTCACAAGTGATGACATCACATGTCTGTTTTGGCAAAGGCAGCAGCTGTTGAACTTTATCAATACTTTCTGACCGCTTGTCTCCTAGCTCTTTCTAAAAAAAAAAATAAGAGAGAGAGAAAAAGAGAAGTGGAACAGAAATTACAATGAAGGCAAAAGTTGCCCAGAAGGAAGTTCCCTTATGAAACATTTCCATTATATAGCTGAAATGTTCTTTCACTTGAAACATGGTCTACGTTGCAACTCTCAATTAGAGTGGTGAGTATGTTTCATTTCTTCATTTTAGGTAGAAAATAGAACACATAAAAAGGCACGCTTGTTACACAACAAACATCACAATGCTGAAATGACAAAATCTAGGACAGCAACTGTAACGAGAAGGCAGGAGCTGCAGCACGGAACACGTTCTCGAATGCAGGGCCACAGCACAAGGTAACCATTGGTTATTTTACTGTAAGGTCATCAGATATATTGATTTTTTTCTCTTATGCAGTTTACTTATAGTTTATTTCAAAACTGTGCTAGTGGTTAGTAAAATGAATTGGATTAGATATATCAGTACAAGTGATTATTTTCAACTGCATGTTCCAGTCCAAGCACAAATGTATCTTAAATCTGATGCTGGTACTCTGATTAGATATTTGGTAATGCATTTCTAAAGTTCCTTAAAAAATTAAACATGCTTTATGAATATAAATTTTTTTAAAAGACAAACCTTCAAACTATATGCTTACTACTTTGGGGTTCTAGTGAGCTAAGGTAAAGCAAATAGCAAAATAATCACATTAAATTAATTTGAGTGCAACAAATAACATTTAATTTAACGAGGAGTAAAATTAGATAAAATGTACTAAATAACAAACCCACAAGCCATTTGAGTTCATAATAAGCAGGTCACAAACTTGCCTTCAGTTTCTTTACTAAATTCATGTATGCACGTCTGTTCTCTTCAGATCCCCCTGGCAATGCGTTGGACAGATCAGAGGCTAATGTTCCATTGATTAAAACACCCAGCATGTCAAGAACTGTTGTGAATAATTCACTAAGAGGGGACAGAAAAGAATTATTTTCACCTCAGAGCAAAACCAAGATAATCTTAACTGAGAATTTTTATTTAAGGCATAGAATGTACCTAAGAAAATAAGATGCGACAGAAATTAACATCAGTATATCAAAGCCTCTGCCATGTACATGCGCAGCAAAGTAAAGGTAAAATGATAAGTACATACTTGTTAGTGTGCATGTCAACGGTTCCAGAAGTAATGATCTGAAGGAGGAGGAGGGCCCAGTCTGTGGTCCATTGGGTGCTCCTCTGCACTGTGTCAAACATTCCTCCCACCTAGTACATAAAAAAATACAATAAAAAAATCTGCATTGTGTTAAAGAGAAAAATATACTTTAGCCAAATTTTGATTAATTAAAGAAAATCCTCAAAAAAAAAAAAAAGAGAGAGAGAGAGAAGAGAAGAGAAGAGCACCTGAGTGTGGGCACATCATCAATAGGAATTACAGCTGACCCTTGACAGCTGATCCTTGAAAATGCAGAGGCTTAGGGACAATGACCTTCCTCTTAGTAGAAAATCTACATATAACTACTCCTACTACTATGTCAGTATAATTAGCTTTCTTTTATTCCTAAATGTTCAGGATACCCTCTTTTATGGTGTGATTTTAGTCGAATTACATCTAAATAGGTCAAAACCACATAATCCAATTACTACAACTTTGTGCTGTCAATTACTATTGAATCTAAGCCTGTGGTCATAATAGCACTCAGAATTATCCAGTATCACAGAAGTAATGATGAGCAGGAGGCATGGCCCCCAGGTCTACTCTTTCACGTGTGGAAATTCAGTTGAAATCAATAATCAGTGAATATCCCCAGAGTGCCCTTCAACTGGCTTGTCCAGTGGGAAAGAAAAATTCAAAGGAATGTTCAATGTGTGAGAATTTTAAATTTCTGAAAAACAAAACCTTCCATGTAGAATTTGTTTTTATGATCAATTTGATAATTTTGACTTAAATGTCATTTTAATATGGTTTTTAAATAAGCATAGTCAAAACTAACTTCCATCTCAGAATACTGGTCCTCTAAGTCCTCCTCTGAGCTCACACCCAAAAGGAGAGATTCCTGGGGCGGGGCTGCAGAAGGCAAACCGGAGCCTAAAATACCTACCTACTGCTGTCCGGAAGTTAGGCCAGACAGGAAGAACAGCAGCCAGGAAAACAGGAAGGTTAGAGGGACAGGGAAGTAGCCACAGAGAGCAAACAGCAGAGGCCTCACCTTGCAATGAAGACTTGTGACGACAGTGGAAGTGGGAGGCGATGTGAGATAAGTTTAACGCAGGCAAAGACTGGAAATGTCTTACCAAATTCAGGCGGAGCTGCAAGGCTTCGTGCATCATCTGCCGTGCTTTTAGGTCATGTTGGTATCGCTCTTCTCTCCAATTACTTAAGATCTAAACCAGACAATACATTAAAAAAAAATCCAGAACTGGTTTCCCCTGTTAAAATTAAATTTTTCATATTTTAAGTTAAATTGAGCTTTTACTGATGGTCAAAAATAACTTCTTGGTTTAACAAATTAAATAAAACTTTCTTCCCCTTCCACTAAGCAGACAGAAATCTGGCTATTTCTTTGTCATTACCTTTCCAGATGGGAGAAGAAAAATCGTTTCTAATTACTTATCCAGTAGTCTTAGAAAACGTTTTTAGAGGACCATCAAGTTAAACATTAACAAAAATAAAGATCAGTTTTTAAATACAGTTGACCCTGAACATCATGGGTTTGAACTGTGCGGGTCCACTTACACATGGATTTTTCAGTGAATATAGAGGCAGCCCCCTCTATAAATACGGGTTTCACATCTGAGAAACAGTATTTTTTTTATCTGAGGTTGGATATTTGCAGATTGTTCTTCACCATAAGGGACTGGAGCATTCTCAGGTTTTGGTTTCTGAATACCAGGAGGATGACTGGAGTTTTGGGCAAGCAAAAGTTATATAAATTTTTTATTGTCTTGGGGTCGGTGCCCTTAAACCCCATGTAACTCAAGGGTCAACTATACATCATTACATCATTTCATTTGTCTTATAAAGATAAGTATTAGGCAGATAAAATTACATTTTATATCAGCTCTGGGTTATATTTCTAGGGACACGCTGTGAACCCTAGCAAATGTACTAGTATTATTTTAGTGTTCTTTTGAAGTGGAATCTTGTCATTTTATAGACTTGTCTTCCTTGATAAAGATAATACATACTATTTTGAAAATAATGTGACAATTTGGATATTAGTCAAGTGGCATATCCACTTGTAAAGTGAGTGCTTCTTCCCTGATTCAGACTAATGCTGGGAAAGGAAAGTGTTCTTAGGAAGGGCAAATTGCAAGTGGGCAACACTCCAGGATCAGATGTCAGGAGCAAAAACAAATGCATACCACCACCCCCCCAAAAAAAATCTCATACTGCCATGCTCCGAAATATGTGTTAACTAATAAGAACCATCTTAAAATAGTTGAAATGAGTCACATGCAGAAGTAAGCCCAGCAGATGACCTGTAAGTATCCTGCAGGGTAAGAGGAGAACACTTTCCACAGCTCATCAACAGAAATGGACTTCTCCCAGGCGAGATAAGGGTGCAAGGCAGGTAACAAAGCACACAAGCTGCCATGGAGCTTACATTCAAGGGGCAGGATCTTACCTAATAATAGACAAACATGTAAATTGACCGTCCCTCTGCCATGCTCACCAGCCAATCAGGAGAGTATGCAAATTAACACAACAAAGATGGCGGTTAATTTGCATACATAGGCACAAAGCGGTGGAGCAAAGACGGAAGACTCCGGGCCAGAGGGAATGCCTGGGTCCCGGGTGCCGGAGGAAAACCGGTGCCAGCAGCCAGGGGAAGGGAAGGCCTATTGCACGAATCTCTTCATGCAACGGGCCTCTAGTGAATAAAAAAAAATCAGGTGTAACAAGTGGTATGGACTTGGGCCAGGGGATAGAGAATGACAGTCGTTCTATTTTTAGAGAGTGATCAGGGAGAGCCTCCTGAAGGAGGTGACCTGTGAGCAGAGACCTGATGAAGTGAGGGAGATAACCATGTGCACATCTGAGAGGAAAGCCTTCCAGGTGAAGGGAAGAAAAGATGCAAAGGTGCTGCAACGACAATTTGTTCGAGGACCAGCAATGTGGCCCCTGTGAAAAGAATGGAGTGAGCTAGGCCATGGCTGGTAGGAAAAAAGGTAGAATGAGAGCCAGTGCCAAATCACTAAGGCCTTATAAGCCCAGGCTTTGAATCTTTATTCTAAGTGTAGCAAGAATGATTGCAGCATTTTGGGCACCAAAGAAATGTGATTCACATTTAAAAAGGATTATTCTGGTGACTGTGTAGAGGATAGATTTCTCATATCCAAAAGGTAGAAGACAATGGGAGAACCAAGTAAGTGTCCTTGTTCATGTTCATCTAGTACCATTCAAGGAAAAGACATGATGTCATAGAACCACAGCACCACAGGAGGGCTCCATTAGGCTCTGCAGCAGGATAAAACATCCCACATGACCCACCCAACCACACTGCTCAGTTCCACAATCTCCAGTTTCTAATGTGGTCACTAGTTTCCTTGTGGTACAGACAATGCAAGTGCCAGGGGAACTGTAGTTGCTGGAAAGACAAAGTCCATATTCTTTATCAATGAACCAAAATGACTTCTGATTTATAAATGAGTATCTTGTGTACTTGACTGGCATCATCCTGGCTCTGGCAGTAAAATGAAATTGAGTTTCTGCACCTACAAGGCTCAAGATGAGACCCTGCCTGATAGGTGGAAGACCCCTTAGGTCTCAGATCTCTATTTCTGTCTTCCTGCCATGCCAACTGCAACAGGGACTTGTCCAGGACCCCTCCCCTGAGGCAGGATCAGGAGAGAACAGACATGTCCAAGTTATGTGAAATATGCAAATGTTACTTTTATAGTCTGTGGACATTAATATAAAATTGTTAATCTTGTGGTGACTAGAATGTCAGGTAGGAGAATAGAGCGTGAATTATGCTGACCTACATCTAATCAAATCACGGTGTGTCCTTATTGGTTTAATCTCAGCATTTGAAAGGAAAACAAATTAATGCCATTAGAAAAACGCTTGCCTGGCTTCATACTCTACTCTACTTTACCTGATTAACTTGATTCTGGAGAGACATGAGGAGGCCTTCTCGTTGTTCATCTTGTCCCTTAAGGCACGTAAGGACCAGTGAGAGGAATGGTTGTTGGCTCAAAAGAGACATACTACAAAGCAAATCATAACAGCAGATCTAGTTAGAAAGAATGGATTACTTCCTTGCAACACTGACTTCTTGCCCTCGGGTTTTGGCTCACTATTTTACTAATAGTCAAAAATGGAGAGTTAAGTCATATCTCTACTGATTATATTAAAAGCCACAGGAATGCTTCTAAATAATTTAATATTGAAGGCATTCCCCAAACTAGCATAAATTCATACTGCAACTGAGTGTGTAAGGGCAGAGAAGGAAGAAGAGAATTTGTATTTCACATCAGTAAGTTGCATTTTATAATACACATCAGAAGGAATATCACCTTATACACAGAATAAAATTTAAAATGTAAACTTCCTCTCACACAAAACTCTTATTTTAGGGTCCAGCCCTATCCAATTGCTGTGCTTATTTTATTTTTCAGCACATTTCTTGAGAACAAACAGTGGGGTATTTACTGGTAGAGCTAAGATCAGAACCTGGTTCAAGGACCCAGTATCACACAGTAAATATCTTGCCAAATACCAGTGTGCTTGCTCGTGACCTGAGGAGCACAGCCCCTCCACCCCCACAATGTAGTCTTCCAAGGGGTTTTAAGACATTTGGGCCCAGCCAGTGTGGCTCAACGGTGGAGCCTCAACCTAGGAACCAAGAGGTCACAGTTCGATTCCCAGTCAGGGCACATGCCTGGGTTGTGGGCTCAATCCCCAGTGCGGGGCATGCAGGAGGCAGCCAATCAACGATTCTCTCATCATTGTGTTTCTATCTCTCTCTCCCTCTCCCTTCCTCTCTGAAATAAAAATATTTTTTAAAAAAGACATTTGGTAAAAATTCTATTAAGATTTATTCAATTATTAGAGAACAACTAACTAGTCATACTGATAAACTAATTGCTACACTGGAAAGAAAAATTTCTTCAAATGAGATTGAGGCCAAAATATTTCAATCTGCTTCATTTTACATAAGCAGACTGAGAGAGACTGACTTGGGAAGGGCCATTTTGTAAGAGCCTCTAGAACTCTCTGTGGTAGGCGGGTCGATGTACATACAATCACCCATTAGCTAACAAACTTTGAGAACTAAGTTGAGTCATCTGGTTGGTTAATTAATGCTAGTAAACATAACAAAACAATCAGATAACAAACAAAATATGAGCAAAGTTAGGTCTCTACCAAATGTTCTTCAGTTAAGAATGCAGGATCAGAAACCAGACCACCTGGTGTAAACCCAGCTTCCTAACTCCTTAGCTGTGTTCTCAAAAACTTTACTTAACCTTTCAGTGCATCAGTTTTTTTCATCTGTAAACAGTGTATAGAGCTAAGATCAGCACCTGGTTCATGATTGCTGTGAGATTTTAAAAGTTTGAGTATATATGAAATAAATTTTATATAGGGGCTGGCATTTGTAAGAGCTCAATAAATGACCGCTACCAAAATATTATTAATTAGAAGAAAATAATATTTCAAATTTTTTTTTATTTCCCCCATCAGCATTTATCCCCCCGTATCCTCTTTCACTCCCCGCCCCCACTCCCCCCCCCCCCCGCGGGGGGGGAAAACAAAAGAAAAAAAGAATCTTTATTTCCCCCCCCCCCCTAGGGGCAATGCCGCCTGGGTTAAATTCACAAAAAAGGATGATTATTTTTGGATAAAACCAGAAAAGTGTCTATTCAAGAAAATCGTAAATACTTCTGGGGGGACAAA